CAAGGAAGCTTCCCAAAGGATGTCTTAAGGTAAGGTTTGATATAGCAGGATATCAATTTTCAAGATTATTGAATCGATTTTGCAAATTCAGTTGTTGAATCTATTTCACAATGTAGAAGAAGAAGAAGAAGAAGAAGAAGAAGAAGAAGAAGAATGTTCTGGTTCCACTTCGTTGACCTTGCTCTATTAATGATTTTTGTTGCACTATTTAGGAATAGTCTGGAAACTTCATAATCTGGCTAATGAGAATCGCTTGCCCTGGAAACTTCAATCTATTATAGCTACAGTTTACAGAGACTGTTAGAATCAAGATGCATTGAGTAATTCAGAGAAGGATGTGTTTTTTCACCCTCTTTGGTACGTCTTGCAGCTCGATCTAGAAACTTTGGTCAATTTCCAGTTGGTAGGATCCTATGAACCAACTTTGGTCAATTTCATGGCTGTGAAGGCCAATTTTGGAGGTTGAGAAATCTGACAACCCTTAAGTGAGTCTTTTGGTCCTTAGCTTTCTAAGGTTTTGGCTATTCTGCAGAATAGGTAGCACCTGTCTTCTGATGTTAACCAATATGTTTTCTGTCATTTGTCACCTTTGCTCACTAGTCACTATTCTCAGTGAGTGGGGTATGTGATTTGGTCCCCTTTCGATGCAGGTCTGTTGTCAGTGCAATTGAAATTGCAAAGGCAATAGAATAAATGTTTACCCTCTTTGTTTCCTTTCCAAACCAGTAGAATAATTCAACTGGAAGCTTCCTTGGCATCTTGCTCTAAATTGCCATTTGTATTAGAAGCCCGGAATAGTTGCTAGTTTTATATGCAATTCTCTTGCTTGGTAACTGAGAGATGAGAATTTATACGCGGTTGGATTTCATGTTTACACATTGGCAGAGATATATGTTCACGTCATATTGAGGCAAGAAGCTAGAGAAAACAGTCTGGATGATGCATTCTATTCCTACATCAAAAATCACAATAAGGTAACAGGAATTCTAATCAAGATGCTATATTTTCCCCGTCTGTTTGACATGAGAAGAGGCACAACCCAACCAACAATGATGTACACTTTTACTGACATCTTTTCAACAGTGCACTAGAGGTTTAATACAGAGGAAGATGCAAAAATGTTTGGCAAGTCTGGTTGAGGTAACTGAACGTATAAACTTCAGAAATGGAGTTGACAAAGAATAGTACTAACTTTTCTTGGGTGCAATTTTGCAGGTCCTGCATAGGGGAGCTGTGGAATAGGAGAACAAGATTACAAGGAGAGGAGGAGGTTGGTACAAGTGTATAGTTTCCTTCTTGAAATTCATAGCCTATGCAAATACTGCCTTAGCTAATACTGTGTATGGACTGATCTGTATGCATGCAATACAATGGTTGGGTGGTAATGATACTTGCTTTGGGAACTCACAAGTTTAAAGCTGAAAAAAAAAGGCTGGTAAAAGTGTAAAGTTATACTTGCTTTGGCTTCTCCTTGTTCATAACTCATAAGGTACTTTGCCGTGATCAGCTTACTGTTTTGATTTGTTGTTGAGAACCAAGGATCTTGTTTTGTTCACTCAGTTTGTACTATATATGGTGCAGGTATTTCAAACAAGGGGCAGAAAAATTTAAAGGAGCTGGGTGATCTCTCAAGCCAAAGTGATTTCTTTGGCAGATTTTAGTTTCTCATTTTTGTATTTTTGTATTTCTTTAATGAATTAGAACTGATATGAACTAATGTAAGTTGGTATTTGGTTGGAAATGTAATGTGACCATTATGGGCTAAATTGCTTGCATTACGTTATGGTATTATAACCAAATCAGTAGCTTTTCTCAACTAATATATATACAACCAAATTAGCAGTCATATTTAGAACAATTTATAACCAAAAAAATGGTTACATTTAGAACGTATGGTTACCATAAAACATTGGTTGGAAATAATATTTATTACCAATGAAAATAGTTATTTTTGAACAAATAGATTGGTTACTTTATATACTTTTTACAACCAAAATTACTATTCATATTTGGATTATTAGCAACCATAAAAAAATTGGTAAGGATAAGAGTTCATAACCAAAATTTTTTGTTACTTAATGATAATTACATTAGCTATGAAGAATAGTTTTGTAACCAAATTTTTTGGTTTTAAATAATGGCTTCTGTGACTTAATCATTTGGTTGGTAAATAATATATGAATTGGTTGGTTTTCATGTTATTTGTGACCAATCAGGTATTCTTTCGTGACTATTTTGACAGTTTTTTTGTTACCAATTGCCTTGGTTGCAAATAAAAACAATTGTGACCAATTGGTCTTCCGTCACAAAAACACGATGTATTGTGACCAAACTCAAAACTTGGTCACAAAATGGTTTTCCTAACGCGGCAAATATGACCAAAGCTTCTACCAAATTTTGTTGGTCACAACATAGGATTTGCGATTAAATTTGGATATTTAGCGACCATTTTCACTCGTCACAAAAGGCAGATTCTGTTGTAGTGACTATTGTGTAAGGTAAAATGATTGAAAGCACTTCTTGAATCCTATGTAGGGCTGGTAGTCGGTCGGTATCCGGTATACCGGATACCGATTACCCGGTATTCAGTATACCGAAAATAGACAGTGTACCCACCAAATACCGATACCGAATGTTAACCATTATACCGAATACCTAATAGTCGGTATCCGGTATTAATACCGGTATACCGAATACCAGGTAATACATAGTAGGTTTTGTCATTTGTCACCCATACCATACATAAACTAACGACTAATGTGATGCCAACACACAAGTTATTGAAGTTAATGATAAGCGCTTGTGTTGAAATCCAACCATTTCGACTTACCACACATTTTACGAGTCTATCATTCAAACTTCAAAACAAAACTCGACATAAACTACCCATTTCAGCACAAATCCTTGCTTAATTGGGACTCGAATATGATAGATTAATGATGAGCTTCTTGTTTATAACAAGCAAGCATATAGATTACTTGTACCCTGTGTTTTTTTAAGTGTTTTAGATGGTTGAGGTGTTTTGCTGGTTTTGTGTGTTTGCAGCTGCTGCATTATGACATAAAGTACGTTCCTTGTTTTGTAATGGTGGACAAAAATGGCAAGGCGGTGGGGAAGACTGGAGTTCCCAGCAGTCCATTGCATGTGGTTGCTGCCATTTCTCACCTTCTCAAGCTCAAGCGTCCCCACTCCTCGACCACCACTATCGCTGCAGGTGGCAACTGGTGCAGCTTCGGCGACAACTACGGCTGCGTTTTGCTTCTTTTTTTTTATACTCGGTATTACGGTATACCGGTATACCGTCGGTATTTACCGACTATTATCCGGTATTAGCGAATGGAAAATTATACGCCCGAATATCGATACCGCTAGTATTCGGTATACCAAATACCGTCGGTATCCGGTACGGTATCCGGTAATACCGAATACTGGTTTACTGATTACCACCCCTAATCCTATGGTATCTTACACCCTGATCCAGTTATAGTCTATATTGATAATCAATCAACAATTTATATTGTTGAGAATCCAGTCTTTCGCGAAAGGACAAAACATATTAAGGTTGATTGTCATGTCATTCGTGAAAGATCAAAATATGGACTTCTCAATTTTAACATGTTAGTACTGAATACCAATTATCGGATGTCTTCTCTAAAGGATTATGTGCTTAGAGGTTTCTTTCATTATTGAACAAACTGGGAGTACATGATCTGTACTCGCTAGCTTGAGGGGGCGTGTGAAGTAGAATTGCAGTACTAATCAAGTTGTCTTGGAACCGAAGAAATTGCATTATGCAAATACATGAGCACTTCTAATATGCTATATATCATTGGTGCTTTAATATACAACTTGCAGTTGTACCATAACATTAAATGTATAAGTTTAGGTTGTACCATAAAGAAATTTGTATCATTATGTTATGGTACCTACAACTTTACAACTTGAAGTTGTACCATCACATGAGGTACAAGTTTAAGTTGTACCATAAAAGAATTTGTAGAAAAAGTATAGGTACAATCTGAAGTTGTACCATTACAATTTCAAGTTGTACCATAATGACAAAAACTTATCACCAATACTATATAACATTGTAAAATTCCTCCAAATACATATCTAACGAAGAGAAGCGGGTCAACTTGTGGTCTCGTGGGTCGAGCTTCTTTTCACCTAAACCAACTCAAAAGGCAATAGATAAATAAGAAAAACACAACATTAAGCTCTTCATTTTGTACAGTGTAATTACAGAGCGAAGCGTGAAGAGTGCCACTTGTCTTTCTCTTATTAGTTAGTTTTAATAGTCGGTTACTAGTTAGCCATTAGTACAATAACTAGCTTACTCTGTAATTAGCTTCTGTACATATGTACACCACCAATGGAAAATGAATATAGCCAATTTCCCAAACTCAACTTCACTCTCTGAAACCCTAGAAGAAACTCCTAGGTCAAGAAAGTACCTCAAATTACCCAATCCTTCACTTTGGAACCGTTGTACTTTACCCAAATAGGTAGTTAGTCCACAATGTCTATTTTTTATGTAAATCTTTTTCAGATTTTTTTATATTAGCCAAACATATCGAAGTACTAAGAATTAGCCAAATGTTAACTTCTAGTTAGTAATTTTATTAGTAATATTGACTTGGCAACATAATACTGACTTGGAAGAGACACATGAAGGTCAACATCCCAAAATTTTAGTATTTTTAATTTTTAACTAGGAAAAGAGTTACAAAATTATTAAGGATAACATAAAAATGACTAATGTTTTAATGCATTACGAAAGATTTGGCTAATTAATAGCATCTTGATAGGTTGGATAATATAAAAGAATCTGAAAAATATTTGGATAAAAAATAGACATTAGCCTTATATTTACTAGTACAATTTTCTCCTTAATACTTTATTATCTACCAACCTAACTAGTCGATAAATGATTTTCGTAGTTTGGCCGATGTAACGATATGGTAACAATAATCGATAAATTTGCAGATTCAATTGGATTTGAATTAATTGAATCTTTATAGTAGACAGACAGATTTTATGAATTTGATTCAATTTAACACATCCATTAGAACCCATTTGCTTTGGGGACATAAATGGCTGATATATGATGAGGGTGCAAACTCCAAATGGCCCGGACGAGGATTTTTATCAAATGCAACGGTTGCCTCGTCTCTATCTGAAGTGTTTAGAGCAACACAATCTTCACGTTTCCCCACTTGATGGGATATGGGAAATGTTGGTATTACCTGATCTAAACCACATCCCATGTACAAAAAAAACATGCCCAAGAATCAAGATAAGATGTAACAGTATGGATACATTATGCGTAGCTACCGTAACGATAAGGATGAGTTCCTCTGTAGGTTGATTACTACATAAGAAAACTTTGTTTGAAGAAGCCATTAAAACACAAAGCTGAAGGTTGATTACTACAAAGGCATACTCTAGATCTTTGGCAGGTGTTTTCCACTCTAAACTGCAGAGATGAGATCTGCAGTAGAAACTCACTCATTACAAGCATCTGGGTCTAAGTACTGGAGTAAATTTCGCAAGAGTTATTTCAAGAAGTTAAGATCGTGGCTTCTCCTTCTTCTCCTTGAAGAGAGCCAAAAGAGACACACCAGACACTTTGACAACCTTAAACCTCACCCCGGGGATATCTCCGACAGCATGCCCCTTCCTACCGAACCCAGCAATCAGAACCTCATCCTGGCAATGTGATCAAGCAAAGCGCAATTAGGTGGATAAATGAACTTGGATTCATAAATCACAACACAAGAACTGGTTAAATAAACTACAGCTGCTGCTTACATTCTCCTCAATGTAGTTTAAGCAACCATCATTGGGCACAAAAGCTGCAATCTTCTTGCCGTTCTTGATTAGCTGAACTCTGGCGCATTTCCTAATGGCAGAGTTAGGCTGCTTGGCCTCAATCCCACTGTAAGATTCAACATTAACAATCAAACACCATCCGAATTAGTTATCATTATCCAATCAAAGAGAACCAAAGAAACCCAATATGCAGAAGCAAAAGTTAAAAGAACCATACATCTTCTCCAGAACGATGCCCTTAGCATGAGATGAGCCAGCAAAAGGCTTCTTCCATTCGTTGCCTAGATTGGATTTCTTGTAGGATTTATCAGCCCACCTCTGTCTTCTGCGGTGGGATTTCAACTTGCGACCAGCTCCCATTCCACGAGTCTTCCTGTAAACCAAGCATCCCCAAAACAAAACCAGCGCTCAACATACACATGAACTTATGAAACGAACAAAAACCATCCGCCAACAAACAGCTGCATTCTGAAGCTTCATAGTGAGGCTTAAAGAATTGAACTTTTGCACGAGGTAACTTTCCCCACTCAAAATTCCTAAAGCCTTAAACCAAGATTCCTTATAAATTCGAGATTTGGGAAATCAACTAACAGTGCGCGAGGCAGTACTACAAACTAACGATATACTCCCCTGGGCAATAAATTCCGATCAAAATTTCCAGCAAACAAGTAAACATCAGTTTGTTCAGTAGATTGTTTAGCTTACCCCATGATGGCGTTGCGAAGATGATCCTCTGTTGTGACGAAAAGCGATGCCGACAGACGGAAAGTGGGGGGATTGTAGCTTGAGGCGCCGGCAGTTACAGAAAGGGGGAAAGAGAAAACCCTAATTCGAGTTGCTAGCCTTTAAACTGCGGACCTCATGCTATGCGACAGTCTTCGTCTTCGTCTTCGGATAGTCCAGTGTCAGCTAATTTTGGGTCGCGGCCCGTACCGTCTCAGCTCTGTCTCTGATACTAATGGCCCATAATTTCTGGAACGGACAGGCCCAATAACTCTGCATGTGCTATACCGTTCTGCTGCATGCAATTCTTCCGTGCAGACTAGGAGTTAAGTAGTATTTATTAATTAAATTTTTATTAAATTAAATTTTAGAAAGTTACATATACATATTAATTGAATTTTTCACTATTTTAAGTAGCTCTCTCTTCTTTTTCTCACTTCAATAGCCCTCTAGTCATTTTTGTCCTCTTTTCGGTTCAACTTCTCGATTCTTCTTTGTCTCCATTAAGACAAACCAGTACCAACTTCTCGATTTCCAATTACTTAGCCTAGAAGGAGTAAAGATTAATAAAATCCTTTGAGAATTAGGGTTATGTCATGGGCGGATTTGCTTTACTTGTTTAAGTTTTTGTTTTCTTTCTTAGTTTTGGATTTAGATTTTGATTCGGGCTCAATTACACATGTTTTCACCTCATATTCTTGTAATTTTTGAGGCGTATTCATCGCTTGAGGTTCAATTTTACACTAGGTTGTGCATATTTTTAGCATGTTTTAGGTCTTAGCAGGTGAAATTGACCTCAGGAGCGAAAGTCGAACAAAAGAGAGCGAGAATGGAGCGAAATGGACAAAATGGCAGAAGTCGCCCCTGAGGAGCATTATCACAACGCTGGAGACCGTGACACTTGGGCCCAGACTGTGAAATTGACGGGATCCAGGAGCTTTTGCATGCCTCGTGGGCAAATAGAAGTTTACGAGCGGGAGACCGTGACATTTTTTCCCCAATCGTGAAGATTCTAAATGAAACAACGCATTTTTGCTCGAGTTCACGGGCAAGCCTTCGCGATCACGGTCGTGAAATTTGATCATGAGAATCGCCCAATTGGCGTATAAAAGGAGGAGTGAGATGAAACAAAAGAGGAGGACTTCTAGAGTGAGATTGGCTTCTTCTTCTTAAGATAGATAGAGAAAGTCACGAACCAAAGGAGGAAGAAGGAGTTCTTAATCTACCCAAGGCTTGAAGAGTGAAGATTTCTCCTCCAAGGAGGCAATCCAAGCAACTAATGAAGAGAAGCTATTTACCATGGTTTTTCTCTTCTTCTTTGTTGTTTCTTCTTCTTAGTCATGGAGTGGTTCTCCGATTTACTTGTGTGTTGTGAACCCTAGCCTAGAAATGTGATAGGTTGTATGGATTGAATGTTATGTGTGTGGGTTTGTGTTTAATACAATCTTTGGGTTATTTTTTAGAATTCTTGAGTGTTGTTCTTCATATTGCATAATTAGGTAAAATTGACCTAGGTGGAGGAAATCCCCTTTTGGGCCTTAAGAAGTTAGATTTCTTTACCACTTGGGTAACCTCACCACGGTAATTGAGGGCAAGCCTCAAACATCGATTTAGTGCCATGAACCTACCATGGTTGGTTGTTATTTCACCTTCCAGACTAGTTTCTGAGGGAGTGGTCTTAGCAACCCTTAGTCGATTAGTCAAGAGAGCTAGTTTCCTAGCTTAATTTGATACTACTTGACTAATAGTCTAACAGAGTGGAGTTTCTCCACTAGTTGCAACCTCCACGCAGTTTATGAACACACCTTTTCACACTAGCATTCCAATCGGATGACCTTGATACAAGGCTAGGGGGAGCAATACCCGGTTGAAGCCTTCTCATATTGAAACGACCTTAATTTAATTTTTTTCTTATTTACAACTATAGTTCTTTAGCTTTTAACTCCAAACCGTTTGTTGGATAACAAGTTAAATGATTGAGGTAGGAGTACATGGAGCGCCTCGGATTGACAATTAAAATGCTTGCCCTATACTACACTCTTTTAGAGTTTGCACTTGGGCTTTAGTCAGGATTTAGTTGTGTAGTTAGGAACGAGTCAAGTTTTTGGTGTCGTTGCCGGGGAAGTTTACGGTCCATTATTCAGAAAAAGTTTTTCAGCGTTAAGTGTTAATCTAGCTTTTTAATTTTTGCATTGTAGAGTGTGAGTCTTGCTTTTCTTGGCTCGAGTTGTGTTTCGTGAAGTGTGTGCAACAGGTGCATAACCTAGAGTGATCCGAGACCTTTGGCGCCACTAGACGAGAACATCAACTGGAATCTCCGACTCTTGGCTCCGGAGAGGGAGTTGAGGAAAGCAAGGGAAAGATTGGTTGATCCCGAAGGAGAAGTCAAAGTAGAGGAGGAAGTTGAATTGGAAAAAGAGGTTGAAGTTGAGAACGTTGAGATGGTAGAAGAGAACTTCGAAGAAGGAGATGAATGATTAGAACCATGCAATTCATACCCACCAAGACCTCCAAACCACATACATTCAATCATAAGCATGCAACACACAACAACACATAATCTTTTTATCATTTGACCTTCATCTTAGTCCATTAGAACTCATTCTTAACTAAGGCATGGTCATTTACTACTAATTACACTACAAACTAACCTAAAAACAAGATTCAAACATGCAAGTACTTTATTTAAAGATAAGCAAGGTTGTCAAACCGGTTTATACCGTTGTGACGGTTTGGCAAGTGGAATGGTACGACCAGTGGTATAACCAGTTTGTGCCTGTTCATGCCGGTTTAAAAAAGTGAAAAAATTAATTTTCAATGTATTTAATCATTTATAAAACATATTTGTGGAGAATTTAGTTACAATCCAACAGATATCATCAACTTTTAAAAATTAAAAATTAAAATGATGTCATTTAACTTAGAATGTGTAAGTCAATCATACCGGTTCCATGACCGGTACAGGTTCAACCAGGTTCAACTGGGTGGCATGCCAACGGCATGACAACCATAGATAAGGAAAAGAAAATGCAAACTGATGTTTGGGTGCCTCCTAACTAGCATGTCTTTTAGGTCGTTTCACCAGACCGTTGTCTTCAAGTACTCAGTTCAGCTCAAGACCTCCTTGATGTTGAGGTTCTCATCGGTGAGGTGGTGTCTCAAGTCGCGAGCTTTGGATGCTTCAAATGATGTGAATGACCCGTGGACTTAGTAAGAATTGTGTCTCCACCCATGAGACCTCTTCTTTTCATCTTCTTTCTTCTCTTTGCCCATACCATGTAATGCAATCTTGATTGACCTTCCTTGAATCCACCAAGAGGGACTGTTGATGGCGTGGCCTTGGCTTGGCAAAGAGAATTCGCAAAAGTATCCTTCTCTAAAATTGTATCAAGGTCGGATGGAAAGCTTTGGTAGCACATATAACTTGTAGAAGCTTCATCCATCCCTTCCTTGTCCATTGACGAAATCTGATTGTGTCTTCAACCTCCTCTCCCTCTTGTGAAGAATCTTCTCCGTGTCGGGTACCAAGCTCCCCTCTTCTTCACTTTCTCCGTCCTTCCTCACAACCTAATCAATGCTTCCTTCTTTAGTTTCCTCTTCTTGATGATTAGGAGCAACGATGGCTTTACAAGCAAGTTCTTCAATAGATCTTCAAGTTCCACTTGCTTGTCCACCCTTGAGACACCTTCCTCTTCTACCGCTTCCTCTTTTGTTTCATTCTTGATTACAAAGAGGCGCTCTTCACTAAGTCTAGAGCAAAGTTGCTTAATAACTCTTCCATTCTCCTCTATCCTCTTGAGCATCTCTTCTTGTTCTTTGAGGAAGTCTTGAGTAGAAGGGTCGGGACTTCCCTTGATGAAAGATGTCCCTACGGTCCCCACCTCTTGTAGCCAACTTTCCTCCCGTTTAACATCTTTAATCTAGAAGCAACCCGGAGGAAGGTTGGGATTGCTAGCATCTAGGCACTCCATTGGGATGTTGTAGTGCTCAAATGCAAACTCTCCAAAGCTCTTTGGTGTAGGTGGTGGTAAATATTGAAGTGTACTCCCACTCCCGGCCAAGAGTTTTTCTAACTCGAGCTCCAAGAGGCTCTTTGATTCTGGGGTTGGAGTTGAGTGAGTTGTCTAAGGCCTTCTAAATTTGTCGTATACGCCTCAAGTCTCTCAATGACCATCTCCAACTCTGTTTTCACCATAGGTTGTGGAGGTGGTTCTTGGTATGATGGTGGAGATGCTTGATAATCATGGAGGTAAGGTTGATAGGCCTGGAGAGGTAGTTGTTCTTCGTACCTGGATCCTTGGCTAGCACCACTACTAGAAGCTTCAAGATAACACCAATTCGGCGGTTGGTGATCTCCCCACTTCCCATGCCCACCATATGGATCCATAGCTACACCTAAACATTATGTATATTCACAAAAACAACCTATGAAAGCACAAGTGTAAAAAGAAAAGAAAAGAAAACAAAAAGTGAATAAACACTTAACACAAGATAACTAAAGGGAACATAACAATGGAAGAAAGAATACGAGAAACAAAATAAGATATGACAAATACAAAACACAAGAAAATGGCACCAAAGGATTAATGCTACAGCAATACAAAACACGACAAAACAACGCCAAACTTGGCACACAATAAATGATTAAACTAGTAGTTCTCGACTTTTCCTAATAACTTAAGATTCCCCGGCAACGGCGCCAAAAACTTGATACGCTTCGCATGGTCGAACTTTAAATTATAAGTCGATGCCCACTCTCTATTCAATCCTAACTAAGCCAAGCATAACCTAGCTAGGGTTGTAGTAAAGTGACTCGATCGTATTCCAAGGGAACTATAAGCTTACTATTACTTTGCTCCGAATTACTATCTAATCGAATCAGAAGTTTTGGTGTTTAAAGTATTCTAATCTAATCCTAAAAGCAAAATAAAAAACCAACCAAGTGGTTGGGAGACCTCTAGAAATGAGATGGTTGCCTAGAATCGAATTCCCCCTAACTATAGTCGGTAAGTTGAGTTGATGGTTATGGTGCGGAACTCTCTAAACTCGGAGCGAGATAACTCACTATCACTAGTTTGCCAGTTGGCGCATACCCGTCTAACTATAAACCTCCATACCCAGCATAGTAGCATAAAGTAGGCTAGTAGAAAAGATTAGGGAGACTTATCCAAGCATAAATACCTACACATGAGACATAAAGTCACTAGAACAACATACTTATATATAAACTGAGTCAAATACCAACATACAATCTATGGTTCATCTATTCTAAACAACCATTAGAAATTCAAGTCATTAGATAAAAAAGAAAACACAAGCTAGAAGAGGAGAGTGATGGAATCAATCTTCTTCTCCTTGCTTGCACCTTCTTCTTGCTCCTTGAGTGGATTGGATCTTCAATTAATCTCTCCCAAGGTGTTTCCCTCTATAAAAACAACCCAAAACACTAAATTTCTCACTCTGGGGCGGCTCTCTCTTGAAAATTGCAGCAAGAGGGGTATTTATAGGAAGCTGATGGCAGTCAAGGACTCCATGGCATGACGCGATGGTCACGACCGTGCCCTAGCGTGACTAGCTGGAACATCCCCGTATAATCTTAGAGGGGGTTGATGCTTGGGTCTCTGACTAGCTGGAATGTCTCTTGATGCCTAGGTCACTGATGTTGTGTCTCTCTTAGGTGAGAATGTTATTTTGGATATTCCTTTATAGTATAATCTTAGATGGGGCTAAGAGGGAGAGAAATAATCTGTTGGTTTATCTTAGCACTGTTGGCTCGAGTCGGGTGTCCAGCGGGCATCCTAGGCCTGTTTTGGTGCCCAATTCTGATGTTTCTTTCTTTATTCAATCTATGTACAGGTTCTTGGTGGATGATGTCTTCTCGGGGGTTCTGAACTTCCCTTCTGATTCCGTTTGGAGGAAGTCTGTCCCTCCCTAAATCTACTCTTTCATGTAGCGGGTGGCGCATAAACGCATCCTTATTTTGGATAATCTCAGTAAGGAAGAGACGCAGCGACGACGACACACTGCGTCTGCTTCTTCCTCCTCTTTGCGGATCTCTGGAGCAAGGGTCGTTGTCCTTCTCCATGTCGATGGCAACACGGCAGCTAGCGGCAACTATGGTTCTTCTTCCTTCTCCCGTCAACAGAGCAACAACCGGCGACTTTCGACTTCCTCCTCTTTCTTCTTTTAATTTTTCCGTGATGCCAGAGCAAAAGCTGCCTGCCTGAAACAGAGCAACAATGAAAGCTGCGGATTTCGGTAGGGGTGGTCAAATGGTTACCATGGTTATTACCAAACCAAATAAGGTTAAATTTCATTAACCAGGAAATAAAATACCATAACCAAACCGTCCAAACTAATACAACAATGAAATTAACCAAACTAAAGTTTAATCGGTTTGGTTAATTGGTTAACCAGATTAACCAATATAAAATCATATTATCATTAAGTGAGAAAATTTTTGGTTAAATTATCAATTCACAACTATCATACGTTAGGA